GTCCTGTTTTTGTAAATGTTTTGATATTGTCTGCTGTCTTCAGGGCATTCAGTAGTTATTTTTTCTCATTTATTGATTGTAGATTTGTTTGTTTCATCCTTTTTTTTTTTTAATTTGTCTATGTCTGAGCAGGCGGGCTGTGTGTTCTTTGTTGTTTGCCCATCTGTTGGCATGATACTTTTCACCTCCTTCTGCAATTGGCAGAGTCAGTTGCTCAGATATATTACAGTAGGGCAGGTCTAGATGAAGAGGAGTTGCTGGGATGGGTTGTTTGTGGCACTACAGCCCCCAGGACAGATTGGTAATCAGTGCTGGGCAGGTTCCAGTAGGCCGTGCCTGTGCTGCTTGGTGGTGTGATGTTAAGCTCATGGTGCAGTTAGGAAGGATGGAGGGGGGAGATTGTTATGTGTGGAGCTAAGATGGATATGGGAGAGAGGAAGAGAGGAACAGGAGCCAAATACATAGAAACAAAAAAAGTGCTAGGGGAGCTTGCTGTTGGCGTGGAGAGATGAGTATCTATGAAATGGAGAAAAATAAAAAGGGGAGGAAGAAGAAAAAAAAGAATGAATAAATTAAAATTAGAAAGAAAAAAGTACAGCAAAGCTCCCAGGGATCCCACTGGTGTGGCTATGAGTTCTGGAGAAGATGTTCCCAGGTGCTGCAGTACAGCCTGGCTAGAAGGCTTAGAGGTATTCAGCACCAGATATTCAGGGAACAGGAAGAGAAGGAAGGTATAGAGAGACGAGAAAATGAGTAATGAAGAAACACAAAAAGGGAAAAGGAGGGAAAAGAAAACAAAACAAATTAAAAAAAAAAAACAACAAGAAAAGCCCCCAAAAAATAGAAAAAGAAAAAAGAAAACCACGAAGAAAGAAATGCCCTCAGGGATCCCTCTGCAGATCTGCACAAACTGAGGGGGTAGTTCCCAAGCAGTGTAGCACTGCCTGGCCAGAATGGGCTCCCAACTCAAGAAAAGGTAAAGATAACAAACAAACAATTCAAAACAAACAAACAAAAGCCCCAGGATCCCACCAGTGTGGCAGCCCAGAACAGGAAGTAGTTCCACACTCGAACAGAGCTCCGCAGCCCCTTAGGAAGCAATGAAGATGGCGCACGGGGCCAGGTATTTGAGTGAAAGGAGGGGGAGGTGGTGAGAGGTAAGGAAGAAATCAAAAGAAGCAGAAAAAAGCAACACCAGCAGCCAACAAATGGCACTCAGGGAGCCGGCCAGTGTGGGTGGGTGGAATCCAAGAAGCCATTGCTTCCCGGCTAAGAGACGGCAGCCGCGGGAAGCAGAGGAGGCCTACTGGGGGTGAAGAAGGGTGGGGAGCAGAAAAGCATATATTGCAAATTACCAGTTGTTTTGTCTCCTGCTCGAAGGTCCGTGAAGCTGCTTTCTTGTACTCCCTATTTGTTGTTCTCTGATAGGAGTCCAAGATGGTGGATCTGTGCTGCGCTAGCTGATAGGGGACCTCTGCATGAATCTCTCCTTACTCTTCATTCTCTGTCAGTTTTCTCACTCCAGTTGGTGCTTGGCTGAGTTCTTTATCTCTTCATTTGATATTTTAAGGTTTCAGGATTGCTGTTTTCTCTGTTTGGCTTAGTTTTTTGGATCTTTGCTGTGGAGGGACAGCATAGTGCTTCTGCCTAGAGTGCCATTTTGCTGGAAATCGAGTCTTCCTACTTTATTCATCTTCTTCAATAGTGCTTTACTTACCCAGGGCTCCTTCCCTTTCCATATAAAGTTAATGGTTAGTTTTTCCATCTCTTTAAAGAATGTTGTTGGTATTTGGATCAGGGTTGCATTGTATTTGTAAATTGCTTTGGGTAGAATTATTGTTTTCACAATGTTGAGTCTACCTATCCATGAGCATGGTATGTTTTTCCATTGATGTAGATCTCTTTTGGTTTCTTGCAGTAGTGTTTTGTAGTTTTCTTTGTATAGGTCTTTTACATCCCTGGTTATGTTTATTCCTAAGTATTTTATTTTTTTAGGGGCTATTATGAATGGTATTATTTTCCTGATTTCCTTTTCATGATTCTCTTTATTTGTGTATAGGAATCCAACTGATTTTTGTGTGTTTATCTTGTGTCCTGCTACTCTGCTGGATCTTTCTATTAGTTCCAGTAGTTTTCTCGTGTAGTCTTTTGGGTTTTCTTATGTATAGTATATCATCCGCAAATAGGAACAGAGACAAACTAATTCTTAATGTTATGATTATTAGAACACTGATGTGATTATAGATAATTAGAACATTTAAGAAAATTATTATGGGGGAATTAAATATTTTATAGAACGTATAATTTCTCTCCTAGCGTATCTATTTGTTAGTTACATTTATTGTGTATGTACACAAACTCCCAATTTGGTCATTTTTATTGATCAAATTAACTGAATGACTGGAAAATTTATACATCAATTGGTAATGTTAAACATAGCAAATAACTGAGTGTTTATAGTAATGTTCATAATCACAAAAATCTCGAGAGTTGTCGTGGTTATTGTAGAAGTATATAAAAGAAATATTTGATTTTTAGTCAAATTCATAACTTAAAACTATAAAAATTTAAACAATACTAGGGAATTTTCATTGATAGATCTTCATGTTAGATTGTAATATCCATCATTATGTCCTGGGACTACTAAACTGTTGTGGTGGCAGAAATATCAAAATAATTTCCTAATGTCTGATGAATTATACACATTTTATTTCCAAAATTTTTGTCTGTGCAGAAAGACTCAACATGCACCAGATACCAATAACAATAATCTTCACGCCATACCTGTATTTATAATCCTTTATAAATTTTCTAGGAAAGGAAATAGAAACTAGCTTTCCTTGAACCTCTACCACGTACCTGTCATGACCCGGGGACCATTCAACTTCTCATATTTAACTTGACAATATTCCATTAATTGGGCACCAACCAAAAATATCCTTTTGTTTAAATATATGTATTTAACTAGGTACTGTGGATGTCCACACTTTCAGTACAAGTAAGAGGTTGACATTTTAAATGTTGTGGAATCAACCAAAATAAAGAAACTGATGTACAGATAATGGAGCCCTGGTGCCACAGTGGTTAAGAGCTCAGGTGCCAACCAAAAGGTCAGCAGTTTGAATCCACCAATCATTGGAAACCCTATGGGGCATTTCTACTGTGTCCTATAGGGTCCCTGTGAGTCAGAATCGACTCAATGGCAATGCGTTTGGATTTGTGTATGTGTGTGTGTGTGTACAGATGGCATTTACTTTTGTGTTTTCAGGAGAGAATCCCTGAGAGTCCTTCTCCTGCTCCCTCTCTGGAAGAGAGTCATCGCCCTGGGAGCCAGACCTCCTCCCACCCGAGCAGCAGTGTGTCCAGCTCCCCCTCTCAGATGGATCACCATTCAGAGAGAATGGGTTAGTATCTTGCCTGACCAAGGAATTGGAAGATAGTCTTTCAGGAATGTCTTCATTAGGAAGTAGGTAAAGATGAAAAAAGCTGGGGGAGCTGACACATTTTAATATAATGATTTTTTGGAGTGGTCCTTTTTATTGGTGAAGCAATATGAACAACAAAGTGAATTTTAACATGTTAAAAGATTATTCTCTGAAAAGGCCTTTCTTTCCTGTATCCCTGAATCTCATGGGAACAATATGATAGGGTTTGTGTAGAGTATATGTTAGCTTAATCTGTTGGTATATAACAGAGAGTATGGTGGCATAGCAGTTAAGAGCTCAGCAGCTAACAAAAAGGTAGGCAGTTCGAATCCACCAGTCGCTCCTTGGAAACTATGGGGCAGTTCTACTCCATCCTACAGGGTCGCTATGAGTGGGAATCAACTCCATGGCAGTAGGTTTGGTTTGTTTTTATGATGCAATACACTTGTCACATTGCAGCATCCATTCAAATAATGGAAGTGAAAATATTCTTTCGGCAGCTGTTGATTGAAGAGTGATTAAAAAGTAAAGCAATATATGGTTGTCTGCAATCCCAACAATTAAGATGGTAAATATTTAAAATGATTTTCCACACATTTCTATATTTCTATTCTTAGAAATCGTTTACCATAGACACCATTCTAGAAATATGGTAAGGTTACTGGCAGTGATGTGGCATATTAGAGACTTGGTCCTAACCATAGGTCTAGCATAAACTACCTGTAAGATCTTGGGCTTATCACTTAACCACCATGAATTTCTTTACCTATTATATGGAAATAATTGCTGTCCTGTGTGTTGCTCTGGGTTTTCATGAGTTCAAATGAAATGATATGTGGAGAAGCACTTCAGAAGTTTAGAGTGCTAAGAAACATGAGAGATCAGCACTATTATCTGTGTGGCTTTACCTTGGTTGCTTATTATCTCCTGCTGTCTGATCCTACTTGGGTATACAAAAGTAAGTTGCTCCATTTTTTTTCCAGGTGCATTCAGCTGTAAGAAATGTATTCTTATTTAGAATATGATAATTATGAACCAATTGAGTTAGGTAAAAATCTTTGCCCATCTTCTATACCTATAAAATCCAGTGTCTTATGTATCTATTTTCTTTAGTCTTACTATGTATCTAGATAATATGTATTTATTTTACTATGTATCTATGCATCTATTTATCTATGTATCTATATTCTTTTAGTCTTACTATGGGTACTTTATGTGAACTCTAAATTTTTGCAGCTTATGGTAGTGATTGCTTCCAGCCTCACCACAGTAATATGGTTTGGAGTGGGGATTGGAAGAGGGAGACTGGGGAATATGTTAGGTTCTAGATTTGTGCTAGGGAAGGATGAAGACAATTTCTCCCTTGTGGAAACTGGCCCAAATTTCACTTAGCCTGTCAATGTTACGTATTGTTTGTAGCTCTTTAGCTTCATTGTTAGATCACTGATTGTCAAATATGACTCTTCATTACAATCATCTATGGAAATTTTACAATCCTGATGCCCAGGCCACACACACAGAGATTAATTCACTTGGTGTGGAGTAGAGGTGGGCATCAGTTTTTGTTTTATTTTCCATATCTCCTCAGGCAATTCTAATGTGCAGCCAGGGTTAAAAACCACTGAGCCAGAGATTGAGGTTAATGGCCGTAAAGGAGTAAATTTAATCCCTTGAAGAGATGAAACGGGGTCTTCCATCTTTACTCTGTTCTGTGGACACAGATTACCTGGTTGTTGCAACATTATATGCAACTGGGCAAGACAAGAGGCTATGGCTGGATCATCATTTATGAATCAACCAATAAAAGCACATATTCTTCTGCTGGTATAATATTTGTATTGCAAGAGAGAAAGAGAGACAGAGAAGGTTGAAGGGAGGGAGAGAGGAAAAGAGAGAGAGAGAATGGGAATTATTTCTTGAATCCTGGCTAAAAGCAGAGCACATAGGGAAATACACTCTGTAAAAATGTAAGTGAATGGGTAACTTACATTTAGAAGCAAAATCAAATATTTCCAAAGTTCTGTAATATTGTAGAAAAAAATCTTGACAACATAATACATGTTTAATTCCACTGGCAGTAATGAGGCTCTATATGTACATTCCACAATTGTCCAAACATGGTAGTGAGATTGCCTACAAATGAATAGAAGATTTGATGATTATTAACTTTAAACTGACCATATTTTATAGAGCTATTATGTTTTAATAAAATATGACTAAAGAGAGTGAAAATGATAAACTATAAAGATTTGCATGTTTTCCCCTCAATATAAATGTTTTGTGAAGAACACTTATAATAATTACCAGAAAATTATATTTTATTTATCTATTAATTTTTCCATATATAATATTTGCAAAAATTTCTATAACGTGTGTTAAAATGAATAGTTATTTTAAATTCATGCTCTATTAAATGGTAAGTTCTTTTCAGAAGTATTTTGGGGAATATATTATTAATTATGTAGGTAAATAAATAATCTGCATATAGATTTTAAAAGAGGAACTATTTTAAATGATTTAAAAGAAGTATGTTGACAATTATGTATGTACTATATATATTAATTACATTTTAAAATTCACATGAGTAATCAGCTTATTGATCTTTAAATTATATGATCATCAGACTAGCAAAATCTTTATACTCTCTTAGAAATAAAAGTATAAAAAATTCATGTTAGTTATTATTGGAGTAAATTAACTACTTACGTGATACCTCTCTGCCCTTCTTTTGGGTGTTTTGCATAGAAAATCACTCAGTTATATCTCTTATTTATAGTTATGATGCCCAACAATAGAGAGGAACTTATTGTTGATCAGGATAATGGACCGACCATCAAAAAATTCCAAAGGGATAATAAAGGTAAAATGATTTTTGCTTCTTTGTTTAAACATATAAAGATCACATACTAACTCAATTAATATCCCAGTGCTGTATTTTGCGTCCACCTTTTACTAAGTCAGAAAATATCCATTCTAGCTTTGAATAAATTCTTTTAGAAGTAAAAGAATAATGTTTAACTGCAGTTTATTTATTTAATGTTATAAATTACCTATCAGCCCGAAGTTTGTCTCTGCATGTGGCTAAAAACTTTACCCTAAGCCTTTTTATTATGCCTGCTCAGAGACATTTTACTCTCCCTAGTGGCATAGTGGTTAAGAGCTTGGGTGCTAACCAAAACATCAGCAGTGTGAATCCACCAGGCGCTCCTTGGAAACCCTATGGGGCAGTCCTACTCTGTCCTACAGGGTTGCTATGAGTCGGAATCGACTTGACGGCAATGGGTTTTTGGTTTGTATTATATGCACTTCATTAACTATGTTTAAAACCCTGAAGGAATTAAGGTTTTAAATGATTATGTTTGAAAAAACTGAGTAGCTCTCATGGGGAAGAGATGCTCCCCTCTACCCTTGAAAGCCATTTTTAAAATATTTATTCGTTTGGATATTTCAAATGAAAGCTTAGCAAGTTAATCCGTCAAGCATTTACCTGGAATACTGACGTATATGGCTTCAATCTAATTTTTGGTCCATCGAGGTACTGTATCACCTCTGCATGGTATTCAATTCGTTCGTGGCATATATGTTAAAAAAAAAAAAGGCAGGGAGAATAAGAATTTCAAAGTGATGCCCTCCTGACATGAAAGCTGAGTACAACTTTGTTTAAAGGCTGAAAAGATAAAAGGAAATGATGCGTATAATGGATGTCACCATGCTTTCGACAGTATCTCTAAGCTAAGAACATAAGATAAAAAGTAATTTATGAGATCATCAGATGGTCTGTTAGTACTTCCCCACAGGGTGCGTTTTTTCCTATCTCTACTAAAGATGCCCATGTACACAGAAAAAAGACTCCATGTTTCTTTCTTCTCTAGACTGAACTTACTTCCTAACTACCTAGATGAGCATTTTAGTTAGAATTTGGAATAATGTATGATTTTCATTTCCTTGATCCATGATTGGTTTCCTTGTCACATGTTTAGTCTTTTTTCAGCCAGATGCCAAAAGGCTATAGCCTCTGGGGCTCCAAGAGGCGGATGATTGATTTCAGAATAGTTATCAGATGGAAGAAGTCAGGTTCAGTATAGTAAACTACCCAAACTCTTACACAGGTAATGAAATTCTAGTTAAAGGTAAAACTTCATTAATAATCCAGCAACAGTTTGTTCCTGAGACCTCTTTCTTACCAAGTCATGACTATTTGAAGGACAGCCTGGCGGTAAAGCAGCATTTCTAGGAAAATCTCAAGCTGCACATGATACACATGATTCCATCAGAACTGCAAACTCCATAAGTCAAAATGGCATTTAGGACTGGTCTGTGTACTACAAGGCTTAAGTACACACTGTTGTGTTTTATGAAAAATCAGCTGGAGCACTAGCGCAGATGTACAGTAACTGATTTTCATAAAATACACAGTGGTATGTACTGTTATTTCTGAATCTCTTGCTGTGGAATGGCACAGTTTTACTCATTTCAATCAGATAGGTTGGCCACACATCCTGATGAGGACATTAATAAACAGGAGTAGCATATTAAACTGCACACTAGTTATAGTGGAAAGCTTTCTTTTAAATAGAATTTCCTATGTAACTTTCTACCATTTATACTTATGATAGTAGGACAAAATATATTTTCCTCAAAGAGATTTTAGTTATTAAATGGGAATTTAGTTAAAGTAGAAGTCTCAACATTTATTAAGTATGACAACTAAGCAGTTTATACAACTGTGGCAAACATATGTTTTCACATCTGTTTTGAATAATATCATCATGATTTTTAAAATGATTTATAGCTGTGAAAATGATAAAATGCCAGCTTTGCTATTATGTGGAAATTTTCAGAAGATGAAGAAATACCATTAGATTATGCTTCATGAAGCCCACCCCTTACTGTACCTTGTAAAATTGGATGACAGTGCAATACATTTCTCATGTGATATTTTACATTTTGAATTTGATTTTTCACTTGTAAACATGTGA